ATCCAGATTGCTGTGGGCTCGCACACAAAAGAACGAAAGAGGCGGGGATAATCCAGCATGCTGAGAGAGTGCAGTTAGTGAGGGAGCAGTAAAGTGTATCCTCTGGGTCGCTCATGACATTAGCAAGAAGCAGAGCAAATGGAGGTCAAACAAAAATGGGCGAGGAGAATGAAAAAGAGACGTTAAGAAAAACTTCATTATGTGTTCAAGTTGGGTTTGTGACACCCGAGGAACCCGTCTTTGAGTTATCGTCAGTATATGTACCATTAAAGATGGCTCCACCTAATACAAAGAAGAGAGGACTCAAATCCATGCAAGCCACCAGCCTGCAGAGCTCCCAGGTCCCCTGAAAGTGTCTTTCTGCCTGGGATCAGGGTAGACATAGGAGTATTTGTAGAGACAAGGTGTCTCCACACTGCCAGGGAGGAAGTGTGTGTGTATCCATCATAATCCATAAAGAGAGCTTACCTCCAGGACTGAGTGGGAGGCAGTGTTTCCCAGTTTCATGGAATGAAAAAGCGCAATGTAGTGGGAAGTTTATAGGTGGGAAGTCACTGGGTCCACAGAGGATGCCTGACCTTGGGGGTGGGGGTTGGCCCCAGAGGGCATGAAGGACAGTGTAGACTCAGGAGTGTCTTTTACTAAGGGAGACTAGATTTTGAAGCCCCATAAGTAGCCTTGGCTTAGGTTTCCATGAAAGTCACCTGTTAAAGAGGGAGTGACAGCAAAAGACATTAGGCGAGGAGGAGTTAAGGACTGGGCTGAGGCAGAGAGATCCTGAAAGGACCATGTTCTATTTTTGGGAATGGACATATGAATCAATTCCATGGTGGGGAGACTGAGGGATTCATTAGTAGTAAAGAGAACTGGGAAAGCAGGTAACTGTTCATCTAAAGGGAGGATCAGAGGTGGTAAGGGGACCAGTGCCCAGAGATCTGAAGCCTGGGAAGAAGCACAGCCAATGGACAGAAGGGTGCTGAAGATAATGAAGCCAGAAAATGATGTCATGGCTTATCAAACTGACAGTCAGGCCCGGGCTCCAGATGGGTTTCTGTAGCTGGCCAGATGTCTCTCAATGGAATCCAAATGGGGGTTGTAACGTCCTGTGGAAAAATACAAGCGTATCCTCATCCTCGTATGAGGACGGGGCCAGGATTCTGCCATAGGGCTGAAATCGGATCCCTCCACCTGATTAGTGGCAGAAGGGTAGCCCAAGGCAAAGAGGTCCAATGTTTCTATGATGGACTGAGACCCCATAGTCAAACATGATGAAATTAAGGTGGAACAAAGCCTCAGTAAGAGCCAGGTGAGGGTTGCGTTTGGCCTCAGCCAAGGGGCTTTTACCCAAGAGGGACTTAAGTGTCCTGTTGGTGCTTTTGACAATGGCTTCTCCTTGTAGGTTATAGGGAATACCAAAGGAATGTTTGATTCCCCAGGAGGAAACAAATTTATTGAATACCTGAGAGGAATAAGTGGGCCCTTTATCAATCTTAAGCTCCCAGGGTACGTGCATGATTAAGATGGCAGGCTTTATAGCTTTAATGGCAAATATAGTCTTTTCCCCTGAGAGAGCTAAAGCATAAGTAAGGGAGGAGTATGTGTCAACTATAACATGAACAAATCTCAATTTTGCAAAAGGGGGGTAGTGAGTCACGTCCATCTGCCAAATGGCATTGGGTATCAAACCATGGGGTTTCACTCCTCTGCTGTTAAGGGGCCAGAGAGGCAAAAGTGGGGTACAGGTAGCACATGAGCAGACAAGGTGCTTGGTTTGGGATATGGGGATTTCTGGGAGGAGTTTATGAATACTCTGAGGGGACAGGTGAAATTGTTGATGTAAAGTTCTTATTTGTTCCAATGGGCTAGACTGGCCTGTCATGATCAGGGCATCTGTTGTGGCATTCCCCTGAGGTAGGATTATGGAAAGTGAGGTATGTGAGCAGATATGTAAGATGTAACATGGGTAAGTTCTATTTTGTAGGCATTCCTGTAGCTTGACCATAGTGAGGTGGAATGGGTTGGAGGAGTTTTTAACATGAGAAAAGGAGAGGATGTTAGTGACCTGAACAGCATAGGTGCTATCGGAAAAGAGATTAAGGGGTTCATCCTGGCACTCTGCTAAAGCTTTAAGTATAGCAAGAAGTTATCCCAAATGGACAGAGCCAGGATTAGGGATGATCGGGTGATGTCCTTTTTTTAGGATGATGTATCAGGACCCCAAAGTTTTTCTTATTATCATCCAAAAAGGCAGTGGTGGCTTGCGGAATTGGGGAAGAAGAAGGAGTGTTGTGGTGCTTAACTTCAAGTGACAATGTGAGACGGGCCTGAATTCTTTTGTCTTGGGTCAGGTGATTGTCAATGGTGCTAGGGAAGCCTGACATCCTGGTCTGAAAACTTATGGAATTGGCCCAGAGTGCCTATAGGCTATGGAGGGGAAAAGGGAGCAGAATAGCTTCAGTTTCTCTATTGAAGATTCTTTGAGCTTGAGTGCACAGTTTGACTGCCAAGTTAATCTGGGATTAGAGCACAGGAGTGGGTGTGGGTTCATGACTAGAGTAAGGACAGGGTGCAGAGGGGTGGCTCAGATTCTAGGGAAATCAAGAGACAGTGGGCAGGGTCTGCTTTACCAGAGTAGTATTGTGCAGAGATAGGAATCTTTGTCAGGCAGATAAGGAGGGCCAGAGCCAAGTTGTTGGTGGGGAGAGCCTGTGGTGATTTAAGAGGATTGGGGTAGTCTGGGATAGGAAGATAGACAAGATATCTGAGGCAGAAGAGCAGGAGTTGGCCAGGAGCAAAGACTAGAAGGAAGACAGGACACAGGGGGGAGAGAGGAGGTGTTTAGGTTTCAGGGGATTCAAGAAGCAGTCATTTTATTTTATCACCCAGTTTAATTTTCAGTCAGGCTTGAATGCATAAGACCATCAGATACTCTTTTCTTTGAGATCTGAGTCAAACCAATATAGGCCAGTGGTGCCTTTAGACCTATGTAGGAATAAAAGGAATGTATATTCTTTTTCTTTGCTCATGAGTGACCACATAAAAAGAGGTATTGTCATATTTTCTCCCTTTTCTCATTGATAGGACCTGAGCTGTCAAGCATCTCTCCCTTCTTTATTAGTGTCCTCAAAGAAGATAGAGCCTATTTGGATTATTCACTCTTAGCAATGTAACTTCTTTAATAATGGCTTTGACCTTAATGACTTGCCAAAACTAAATTGATAGATTGATTTTTCATAAATCTTTCCTTCACTTAGGGAAGACAGGACAAATTTTGATCAAGTATTTGGAGCAAGAGACCTGGAACTGACCTGGAAGCCTCCTCCCTGAAGATTAGCTTTCATAGTCTGAGAGGATACTATGCAAGCTAAGGGAGAAAAATCAATCAATGATCCAACCCAGCAGTAAAGTCAATTTCGGTACTTTTAAATAATTCATAGCAGAACAATATATATCTTTTGAAATACTTCCAAAGAATACCATATATAATTTGGGGGGATAGTTTCTTTTCTCATTTTTTATCCAAATTTCTTCAAAGTTATGACAGTAAATATTTATGAGATAACTAACCCATTCTACAAACACTGTCAAAAGTACACAGTTAAAATTACCTTGTACAACAGCTAAATGAAATAATTAGAGATTATATAGGTTTATAAATAATGTAATTGCTACTTATCTGGTTATCTATTCATAAATGTTATTGAACATTTCATTCAGAAAATGCATGAGAATTATCCTAGTGATATAAACCATAATAAATATAAATATTGTCTAGTAGTGTGGTTTTAGCTTGTTAGAAACTGGCATTTGAGCATGGAGTGGTTAAATAATACAGTTAGTTAAGGTGGAAATACAGTTATCCTCAAAAGAAGATCGTCTTTCACCATTCAGACAAAGAGGTTGAAATAAAAATTTTCCTAATTCTCCCATTGAGAACAGGCATGTTTTCCTGTTTGAAATGATTGAAACATGAGTGATGAGTATTAATTATCTATCTATCATCTATCTATCTATCAACTATCTATGAATCTATCTATCATCTATCTACATCTATATATCTATCTATATCTATATTTATATCTATAGCTATCTATCTATCTATCTATCTATCATCTATCTATCAATATTTCTCCATTATCTTGTTTTTGTATGCTTTTAAACCAAGGCATTTATGTCATTATGAGCATCCACTGAGTTATACATTTATTTTACAAAAAATTTCTGTGTTCATGAGATATGTGGCTGTATGAATCAGTGCTTTATTTTATCAGAGTATCTTTTAAGAAATCATCAACTTAAGGAGGTGTAGAGATGGCTCAGCACATAAGAGCACTGATTGCTCTTGCAGAGTTCCCAGGTTCAATTCACAGCACCTGCATGGCGGCTATGATCTGTGTTTAACTCCAGTTCCAGGGGAATCCTAATTCCTCTTCTAACCTCTGCAGCATTGCATGACACTGGTGTACTCATGTACATGCAGGCAATACACTCATACATATAAGATAGAAATGACAAATAAAAAATATAAAAAATAAGTAAAAAAGGAATCATCAATTTGATAAATATATAATGAGTCAGAAAAATTAGAGAATAAATTCTAATGTTTAATGGTATTAAATTTTCATTATATATGTATTTGCAAAAATTATTGTCATAGCTTTTCACTACAGTTTATAAATGCTATAAAATCCTTCAAAAATTAAAACATATATTCCATGAATGTACACAGAGTTTAATATAACTTTATAATATATTATCTGCATGTGTCAAATAATCATATTGTACTCCATAGAAAATAATATGTTATAAAGTAATTATTTAGTCACTTGATAATAGAGGAAAAGGCAGTAGATAATTGTTATAATAAATATTTCACAGGTTCTAACAATTTAGTAGTTGAAGTATATAACATACAAATCTAAGAAAAGGAGTAAATTTTAAAGTTTGACTTTCAGTGATATTCTAGGAGTAACCTAAACTGACCTTTATAATTTTGAGGGCTAAATTATTCTCAACATTATTTTCCTCACAGCTTCCTTTATCTGTTTGTTTCTTAGACTGTAGATGATAGGATTTAAGAATGGTGGAATAATGGTATAAAATACAGACAGAATAATGTCCTGAACAACTTCTGAGATAATTGGAGGTCTTAGATACACATAGGCAGCAGAGCTAAGGAACACAGACACCACAATAATATGAGGGACACAGGTGGAAAAGGCCTTTCTTCTCTCTTCTTTGACTGAAAACTTCAACACAGTTGAAAATATGTGAATATATGATACAGAAATGAAGATAAAGCAGCCACCATCAATGATGATGGCAGTCAGAAGAATTAAGAGCTTGTTGTTAAAGGTGTCTGAACAAGAGAGCTTCAACAAAGGGGGGATGTCACAGAAGAATTGAGGGACCAGGTTAGAGTGACAGAAGGACAACTGGAATGTTTTCACAGTGTGACAACCTGCTATGACAAGGCCAAGGATTAGGGAAGCCAAAGTCATCTGAACACAGAATTGGTGGTTCATGATCACAGGGTAGTGGAGGGGCTGGCAGATGGCCACATAGCGGTCCTGTGCCATCACAGTCAGGAAGAGAATCTCTACACATCCACAAAACATGACTAAGAAGATCTGTGCAGCACAGCCAGTCACAGAAATTCCCCTGTTGTCAGTGAGAGAGTTGACACAGGCTTTGGGGACTGTGATAGAAACGTAGCACATGTCTAAGATGGACAGATTCCTGAGGAAAAAGTACATGGGTGTGTGGAGGTTGTGGTCAATGGTGCTAACCATGATGATGGTTATGTTCCCTAGCAGGCTGCCCAGGTACATAAGTAGAAACAGCATGCTTATCAGGAGCCTGAGTGTCCAAGTCTCAGCAAAAAATTCGAGGAGAAACTCAGTCACCATGGTGGAATTGGGTATATTCTGAAGCTGCAGGTTCATCTGAAAATGGAAAGTAATGAAAGAGAACAAGCACAAAATAATAAGCGACTAATTTTTCCCTTCACTTTATTTACTTTTGTTCTCTAAAAATGACCTACGCGTGTGAAAAATCAAGTATTTTTTTTTTGTCTGTACATACTTTTACCATGGTAGTAGTTATTGTATAAGATCCTAAGATATGTTGTGTAGTCCATCTAATTAATCCATAGCATGCATGATTAATCAGTTTCTATAATAATAGGCATCTCATGAAATTTAGCATTTTTAAAATTTTATTATTTTTATGTGTATGCGTGTATTGCCTGCATGTAGGTAAGTGCACCCATGTCATGCAGTGCCTAGGGAGGTCAGAAGAGGCTGTCTGATCCCCCGGGACTGGAGTTATGGACAGTTGTTTGATGCCATGTGGGTGCTGGGAATAGAACCCAGGTCTTCTGCAAGAACAGTCAGCGTTCTTGACCACTGAGCCATCTCTCTACCCCAAAATTTATTTTAATGAAGATTAATTTGATTTTATATGGCACATTCCTAGAATAAATGAATTATTAGCACCCTTTATCAATGGCTAGAGAATTTGAGCTATGGAATCTATAAATTTATGTTTTTAATGCAATTATTATATATTTATATCTGTATATAGTAGTTTTTGTTCTATGAATGTACTCATCACACACAGAACCACCTGCATGAGGAGGGATGGAGGGAGAAAGTGAAAGATGACAGACATTTTGGTACAAAACAGTTTGGAAAAGAGAGAGGGAGATGTACTAGGGTGAAGGGAGTTTTTAACAAAAACACTCCATGACTAGGAAGTCTGAGATCTGCAGAACAGGCTAGGAGTCTGGAACCTGTCACAGTTATACTGTCATTCTTGCTGCTGAATTTCCTCCTCTTAGTGAGAATTCTCATTTTGCTGAATTTCAATAATACTATAGATGATAATCTGCTTTATTTAAAATTAGTGTTTGAATATTGGGTTAATGTGTACAAAATACGTGGTTAGCAAAATCTTGATTAATTTTATTAAATAACTAGAACCTGGAGGAAAGCCAACTTTATATATAAACATCTTTCCATCCCTGACAGTATTTTGCTGTTGTTGTTGATTTTATGTTGAACATCAAGTTTAGCTGATTTGAATGCACAGCAGGAAGTGCTGCCTTGTGCTTTTGAACTGTGATCTGAACACTGCACATTTTCCACATATTTCTTCTGACGATCTTTTTCAAGACGAGCACAGATACTGTTTTCAGGTTTTCTCACATTTCTGACAACCTGGAATTCGCATGGCATCTAAGTGTGGTAAGAATCAGTGTCTGATTTGTATCCCTTTATAAAAAAGTCCTAAGCTACAGTTTTATGGAAAATGAGTTTGGCCATGACTACATTGGGAGACAATGGTCATGGCAGAAAGAATAAATCCTTGAAGAGAATATTTCTATATAGGAATAAGGAAATTTGAATGTTTGTGGTGATTTTTAAAATATGTGGTATATGATACTATGAAATCCTAATGAATTTATCACTGTAAACTACTAATTAGAAGGTGGTATATTTTAGTATCTACATTTTCAATCTGTCAGAAAAATTAAAATTTTAAATGAAAATATTGATATTTTTACACTAGGTCATAAATCCATTTCAACTCTAAAATTGGTATGGAAACTTTCTCAGCACTTAAAAGGACATTCCCTAATTTAACATGATTTAAATCCTCCCCCTCCCCCAGATAATAGGAACTCAGTCTGTGTTTTCAACCTATAACACATTTGTATATTTTCCTTTAGGATATGCTCCTTGTCATTACTTCTTTTGAATTTTTATAAAATTTTATATACCTATCTGATCACTAAAATGTCAACTAAACAAATAATTTCAGCTCCAAAAAACGATATGAATTTTAATCTTAAATGGTTAAAGCAGTATAAACCCAAGATTACAAAAAACACCAATATTTAACATAGTAAGTTATTTAAGTTTTGCCTTATTCAAAGTATTTAGTTACAAATCTGCTAGAATGCAATGAAAATAGGAAGAACTACAGTAGAGTAAAACAAAATTCTACTTTTGCATCCTGATATTACTGATGGAACAATATAAAAAATAACAAATGATGTCCTCTCAGGAAAATAATTAAATAAAACTAAGTAATGTCTCATTAACTTAAAGACACTCAATGAGACCTGTCCCCAATAATTATAATTGTAGGGTAACTGGTCTTTATTTATAATACGTCCTAAAGAAAATCTCAATGCTGAGTAAAAGGTCACTACGAAGTCATAGACTAACCTAAAAAAATCTAGATATCACAGATAAAGTTAAGCATAATGACAAGTTCAAACTGATGTAACCTTATGAATAAAATATGGTTAGTATACTACAATTAATATACTATAACAATATGCAGTACTGAAAATATTTTGATTTTATACAAAATCAAGAAGGAATGAAGGAAATATTAAACATTTTTAACACTACAAAATTGAATGAATGAATAATATGAAAACAATGATGTCACGAATTCATAACAAAATGCAACAGTAATAAATGTGAAGGGATTTTGATTCAAATTAAAGGCAATCTCTGGTCACCTTGATAAAATGCTATGTAACATTTTTATGAACTCCTTATGAGAGCACAAAAGTCATCATAGTACTAAAAAATGGACAAAATATTCAAATCATATCACTTTGTAAAGTTATCAAATCAGGAACAAGACAGCATCAAGAGAGAAATAAAACAGCAATAAAAGAGACAGAAATTAACAAATCTAAAACAGGTGCTGAAGTAGCCATAGTTACATTTTTTCTTTTACTTGAAAAAATTAATTTGGTGTTTTAGATTAAGAACCTCCAAATTTTAACAATCTAAAATGCACAAAAATTAATTATTATTCTGACGACAGATAATTGATTCATATGGAAAAATGAGTATTTATATTATTTCAAAAGATTTACTTTGTGTGCTTGACTGTCTTTGTGTGCATCACAGATGAGAACAGATTCCCAAGGAGTAAGGAAGAGGTCATCAGAGACCCTGGAGATGGGGTTCAGACAATTATGAGCTAGCTGCTGTGCATCCATGGAGGTAAACTCACGTCCTCTAGAAAAGCAGCTCATATAGCCAGCCCTAATAACAACTTAACTTTATTCATATTGTTTACATCATGGTAAAAAAAAAAAACTTTCTTCATTTTAAACAATGATAAGACAATGTTTTGTTAGGTGATAATATACAAAAAATTTCTCTTCCAAACAAATAATATTATGGCACCTTTAGAATCTATATCTGAATATAAGTTCACAGAGATCCCTAAAGGTCAGAAGTTAAAATAGTGACAGACGAATTTAAAAACATAGCAGAAGATGAGAACCAAATGAGAAAGTGGCTAATTTGAAAGTAATTTATTTTAATTTTAAGTTTATGCACTTTCCAAATGAAATAATCTAAATATAAATCAAAACTGAGAAACAGGAAATAAGAAACATCAATCCAGAATCAACAAGGTGTTTTAACAGTAAACTTTCACTAGTGAGTCATAATCTATATGGAAATAATTTTAAAATTCAGATGTGAAGACCATGAACTTAATAGAAATATATGAAAATTCACCTCAAAAGTATCACGATTATATTTTTTCCTTTTGTGTAGAATATTCCTTAGACATAGATGCGTCACTTTTCCAACATTTTAATCACCACCTATCAAGGTATTCGCGATTCAATATTCATGTATTTGTAACAGCATGAAGGACCTGGCAGACATTATACCAAGTGAAATGAGTCAGATACACGGCTAAACCAAAAGAAGTCTTAACCAGTTATAAGAGAAATCAAATCACCCAAGATTTTTTTCAACTTCAGAATAATCTAAAAATCAATAACAAAAAACTAATTAGGACATTACCTAATGCCTGTAAAAATTATATAAGGAAAACAAAGATGCATAAAAAGGGGAATCTGAAAATATTAATAACATTGAAAAACTAATGTTGAATAATGTAGAAAGGTTAGTCGTGTAAATGAAAGTATAAGAGAAACATTAACATATATGTCACAGAAATACATGTTACAGAAATACAACACAGTAGGATTAACAACTATCTGCCAATAGCTTTATCAAATTGCATAGTCAGAAGAAATGAAGAAATTAAAAAAAAATACAACCCATATAAAATAAGTTTAAAAAGATAATAGGAAATCATTTCAAACCTGCTATAAATTACCATACTGAATTGATAATTAAATACCTCCCAACAAAGAATAATCAGGAATTGATTTGTTTCATGTACAACTTCAAATAAACATGAAGGAAATTTTCTTCCAATAAATGAAAAGTAAGGGTCCACTTATATATTGATCACAATGAAAATAGTTTCACCTACATCCAAAATCATGACAAAGGAACCACAACAAAATTCAATTGAGGCCAATAACCTTGAGGAACCAAATTATAAACACCTTGAAAAATATTAGCATATAGACTAAAAATTAATTTAAAAATTTAAAAAGAAAAAGGAAGTGTTAAGAAATAAACATTGTGTGAATGGCCAATTAGTGTATAGGAGGTATAAAAATGCTTAATTAGGAATGAATTGACTTCTCAGTTAATAATCTTGAACAGCTGAATATTCATGTGCAGAACAATGCAATTGGACTTTTATCTTTTCCTTAAAAAAAAACCAAACACAGTTGGTTGTACAGGCCTTTAATCCCATCCCTTAGGAGCCAGAGGATTTGAATTTAGGCCAGCCTGTTCTATATCAGGTGTTTCTGGCAAACTGCCCTGGAAGCTAACAGAAGCATTCTTTACATTAGCCTTGAGATTACTTATCGGGAGTGATGCCCAGTGTACATATTGCATACACAGACAAATGAGACTTATCAAACTGAAACTTGTGCACGTCAAAGGAATAAATCCGTAGAGCATAGAGTCAGGTATGGAATAGAGGAAAACATTTGGAACTATGCTACTTACTGGATTTAATAATTAAAATGAATAAAGTACATTTTCCATACAAAATAAATAGTAAAAGTGCTAATTGGGCTGAGAACCTGAAAATGAATTTATTTATATAAATAAAAACAATCTTATGAACTGAAGCTTTGTATGATTGATAGTAACAGCCACAATGAGACATTTCTTCACAGATACTGGGACAGCTGCTGTCAAATGAATAATTGATGGTGAAAAGCCCTTTGCAGAAAGTCAACCATTTACACTATTGGTGCAGGTTGTAATGGTCCAGTCTCTTTAGAAATCATTGTGGAAATTTCTCAAAAAAGGCAACAATAAGAGCAACCAAAATACAAACACCTGGAAACAGAAGTTCTCCAGCCATTTCACATCTGAGTACATATCTGAAAAATAAAACATATTTGTAGTGATATCTCTGTTCTTACATCAATACTAGAATTATTGACAAAAACAAAAGTATGGAAGATACTAAATGTCAATCAAAGATGAAATGATAGAGTAATTCTAATATATCTATACAATCACAGATACTCATTCTTAGATAATATAGAAACTTGCCAAATTGGAATTTTAGTTTTAAATATAAATAGGACTTATTTTAATTGATATACATATTATCAAAAATGGATAATCTTATAGAATATTTGTTATAAAACCACACATGAAAGGACAAGCATAACATAAATACATATACAGAAGCTGACTGTTGAATGCTCTCTGCTTTTATGAGTCATTTTTATATGGAAAATATTCATTTTCATCACCACTTGGTGGAGTTATTTATCAAAGAAAACCAAATTCCAGTTGTGAAACATAATAATCCCACCCACTGAACCACCATATATGGAGTCCATAATTTATGGTATTCTATGATATTCATTAAATATTACCAAATGTTTCTCATGTTTTTCTTCAATGTATGGTATGGAACTTACTACATTCTGAAAAATCGGTGGATACTCTACACTGACAAACTTTCCAAATTTAGTTGATTTTTTTCACACATCAAATATCATAAACAGAATGGCAAGAAATCTGGATGAGATTTATTTTATGGTTTAGAGTCCTGTCTTAAATTCAAAGGATTATTCTTTGAACAAAACACACCAAATTATATAAATTTAACATATGCATTTCAAAGTTGGGAGCAGTAGCACGTGGGTCATCACAGCACCTGGTGCTGATACTTACCAAATTCCAGGTCAAGACCAGTCTGAGCTACAGGATGAGACTTCATTGCAAAATCATCATTAAATAAATGAATAAACAAAAAAATACAGTTTTGTGTGACTTTTGTCCTATATCAGTAAAGTGAATTTAAAATTGCAAAAAAATCTTAAGAGGTCTTTTCATAAAATACGGATATACATTCAATACTGTAAAATACAGAATAATGGAAGCATGACTGTTTCTGATATTATCCATGCCCAGGTTTGGATAGGTGAGAGCTTGAGTTACTTGAAACTGCTTAATTCTTGCTTTTCTAATAAAGTCATAATCTGTAAATGTCAATCATTGATTATCCTTCTTGGTAATTATTCTCACACGTATCTTGAGATTGTCACCATATACAACTTAGTTTGGATACCACACAAGTTTCACAAAGAAACAGGTACTGATTCTGTATAAACTAACTTAGATATATAAATCTTTTGATATATTCATATTTAAAATATTTCATTATGAAATTTTCACACTAAATGTAACTTAAAACTTCATTGAATTAGTGAAACTTTTCCAAGTAAAAATATATGACATACTGCTTCCCTGGGCCTGCATGACCCACAGGCCTCTCTCCAGGGTAAGTTGATTGCGTCCTCTGTGCTATGACTCCCCCAGCCTCATCACCTTCCTAGCTCCCCTGCCCATCTCTCCTCCTAGCCTGGGGCCTGTCAAATTCCTTGTCTTGGTGCCCCAGATACCAGGGGTACCACCACTGTTTCCAGATCCTTTGCATTCAGACCAACCCAGGTGCTTCTGGGGTCTGAAGGAACCCTCTGGCCCTGGCCCTGCCCTCACCTCCCTCTGTTTCCCTGGACCTGCACAACCCACCATCCTCTTTTTTGGAAGCTGGGGTTGACCTTTCCTCTTCCTGATCATTTGCATTCAGACCAACCCAGTTCCTCAGTGCAGTCCCCAGGAGTCCTTCGAACTGCTTCCCACCCCCATTTCCCTTTAAATCTTTGAGTCAACTGCTCTAGACCAGCATCTTTCTTGGGCTCTGCTCCCAAGCCAGTCCAACCCCCAAATTCCTGAGGCCAAAATCTTTCCTGGAGGGATCCAGACCTTAGGAGAAAGCCTGAGAGAATATGATACTCATCTGATTTGGGCCTCTGTGGGAACTCCTGAAGATAAAACCAACTTGGTCACGCCAAAATAAAATCAAAAAGAGAACTGGAAGCTTAGAGGAACCAGCTTTTCATGCACAAAAAGTAAGCCACAAAGAAACATAAAGTTTACCAAAAGAAGCAGACTTAAACTTATAGTCTTGAGTCTCACACAAGAATCAGAAACTACAAAAGAAATTCACATGTCAAAATCACAGAGAAAAAATAACATGAAAAACTAAAATAACGTAACCCCACTAAATACCAGTAGTCCTCTAGAAGAGTACAATGAGAGCCCCCTAGACATAATGCAGGACATGGAACTCAAAAGAACAATTATAAAAGAATTCAATGAGTTTAAAGAACACAAAGAAATCAAAGAACTGAAGGAAGGTAGGGATAAACTTCTGAATGAATCCCGAAAAGAGCTAGAAATATTGAAGACTACTCAGGTTGATATGAAGAAGGTCATGAAATACTCAGTAAGCCAATTAGAAACAACAGGAGAAAGCCTCACCATTAGGATGAATGAAATGGAAAACAGAGTATCAAGACTGGAAGATAAAGTAGATGAAGTAGACCACTTAAGCAAAGGTTATGAAAAATTTAAGAAAGCATAAAAATGGAATATGCAGGAATTGTGTGACATCATAAAAAGACCAAACTTATGAATCATAGGCATACAGGAAGGAGAAGAATTCCAAGATAATGGCATGGTCCACATCTTCAACAGAATCATTGAGAAAATTTTGCAAAATTAAAGAAAGAAATTCCCATGC